TTTCTATTTTCTCTCTTTAAACCCCTGAAATATCAAATATTATGGACATGGCTATGTGAATTTGATCGTTTTAGGAACAGGAGTAAAAGCGTGTTATCCTCTTCTTACTGTAGCTTAAGAAAGTGAAAAAAACAACCTATCTCTTCTGGGATTAGGAGAGCTGAGAGCCTGCACCAGAGTATTGCAAGCACAAGCTTGTCGCATGCGTGTGATTTTTTGAAGGGTATGTTTGATATGCTCGACACCAAAAGAAATCTTTCATGATCACTGTACACATATATACGCTGAGCAAAAGCAGCCTCGGCGAGTTACTTGGGCTGATGTATCACCACTTCTGAAGAAGTAAGTCATTCAAGAACTAAATACAATCAATACTGTTGAAGAAGTTCTTAAAAATTACTTTTATTGGCCACTTATTTAATATCCTCAGTAAAATAAAAAAAATGGTGATGGGCCTTCAGCTGAACTGGTTTCCTTGGCTGTTACTGTTCTTTTATCATCAAGTTAATTAAACTTTTAAGTAGCCATCTTACTAATAACTAGTCTGAAGAAAAACATGCATGTGAACTCTTAATCATCAGCATTTACACCCATCCTTCATATCCATTTAGACTGGGGAAGAAGAGAGTATGCGCCGAAGTGTTGTTGTTGCTGTCGGTGGTGAAAAACAGCAGAGCCGATCCCTCCTGCCTGAGAAAATAACACAGACTTTATTTCTATGCACATGAAGCTCTTTATAGTAACTCCCATTTTCATTATTTCTAATATTCATCCTCCTTTTGATACAAATATTAGTTAGCAGAGTGTTATTGCTGCAGGTGCCGCCACAAAAATTGTTTCAACTTAGAAAAACACTGCAGGAAGTGACCCCTACTAGTGCTTCATACTTTGATAAAACAAGCCTTGAAAGGAAAAAATGGTTTCATGTGTGCTTTTATGAATCTGGATGGTTGGTGAAATATAAAAGGGTCAAAAGGCAGGGAGGTTGCTGTGTTTCAGACTACAGTTATTTTAATTAGCAGTGAGTTAGGTGTTGTTTAAAAGTGAACTAACAATATTCAGAGTGCAGTGCACCTGTTGTGTGACAGTGACATACCTTTGCTAAACAGCAGGTCCAGTTCATTTCCTGTTTTAAAGGTGAAATATCCTATCTGGGCTATCACAGGCTTTAAAGACTATGTAGGCTATCGCAGGTCACAAACATCCTCTTAATGCTTTACTTACTCCCTGTATGTGTGAAACAGACGAGCGCCTGGCAGAGAGCTGAGAGTGTGTTTGTCTTATGCATTTAACGGTGATGATAGAAATAAATAATAATCAGTTGGCAGAGATGCACCATCGTCCAGCAGAATGCATAATCAGCCCGAGTAATCTGTCTCATCACAGGAGTGAGGGAAAGCACTCGAGCGTGTTAACAACAGTCCAGATTGTGAGAGAAATGTAGCAGAGATTTCCCCAAATGAAGCAGCTGCACAAATGTTTTGTTTGAGTTTAAATATTGTCTGAGGATAAAAAGATTTACTCTCTCATGAATTGTGTGCAATTTATGAGACACTGTGCACGGATGGATGCAGTATCTCTCACTCACTCATGTGTAAAGCCAGTTAGCAGCAACACAGCATTCAGAAGGCCTTGTTGTCCACTTTCTGTCTGGATGGTGCAATACTTTAGACCTGTAGTTCTGGAGGAATTCATGAATATAAACTCAGAGAGGTGCAAATGTCACTGGATGTTCTGGATGTAGTGATGAAGAGTCCGTTACTTAAGTATCACCTTCTATTACAGCTCTGTAGGGGTAATAATATGGTAATAACAAGTTATTACCACTCTACAAAAGTAATATCAAATAACCAAGTAATGTGTCAACTATCATCATACCTGAGTGATATTTCACTAAAATTTATATAAATGGGCAACAAATATTATTACCTTTTTTCCACCTTATTGCATCATTATTACATCATTATTAACTCATCACTACCAAACATTTAAATCAGAGATAGTTTGGAGTTAAATGGAGGTAAACTTAAGTTGTCTCCTAGAATGATTACGCATCTTTGTACCTAATCCTGGATAACAAATAATAAGGCAGGTACCAGAGCAGAGATAACTCAGATTACGTGTCCTAGTTGGGTCTTTGGGGACTAAAACATTTCCAGCACAGTCCAAGTCATTAGTCACCCCTCAGACATGTTTTTTTTTCTGTATGGGAACATACAAGGGGGAAAACATAGTTTTTTTTTTAAGGCGTTACAGCCATCGAGCATGATGTTCAGTCCAAATGAGCGACATTGTATCAGGTATAACTAATTACATGGCTTACATACTTCTCTTTGTTTATACGCATTCTTTATTTGTTGAGCATCAAAGGATAGAAAGCAGACGATGAATCATAAGACAATTTTAAAACCAGTGATCCAGTCCACTTTCTTAAACTTCCAGCCACTGTATTGTTATTCAAATTGGAGTAGATTGTGTCATTTGAGGATAATTTATGCAAATTTAGCAGCAAACTCACCGTGCTACAGAGTTTCCACAGCAGCAGGGAAAGTGTTTGCTGGACTGGCTCTATCTAAACAGTGTCCATGTTCACCACAGTGAAGGGAAATGCACAATAATATTTTAATTTCCAAATCTCTACGGAAAAAACGAAACATAGTAAAACATTGTTTTCATAGTAAATATCTTAAAATGCAATATGAACGTCACTGGGATTCAGTTAGTAAAATCTGCTCTCAAACACAGATAATACCACTATCATCTTTAAATTAGTACTGCACCGGTGTGATTTATATTGTTGACTCAAGTCACATAGTGGTTGCATTTAGCAGGGCGATATATTAGAACACCCTGGAGACATGAGCCCAGTTCCACCCTCGCTCAGACATGACACCAGCTGATTTACACTAATGACATACTGAGGTCTCCTTCTCTGGAGATACACAGCTTCCTGAGATTGAGTCGAAATTTGGCCTCACTTGCCTCCAATCCTTATCTTGTTAGAGACAATTGAAAAAAGCAATTACCTGCAGATGCTCCGTTGTGTGATAAACACAGTAATGTAGCAGACGACAAGAAGCAACTGCTCTCTTCTCCACTCTCTCCCTTTTCCTAAGACGCTCACTTTTCTCTGCGGCGCACCTATCTTGAAATATTCATAACTGTCTCTTTGCTGACTATTAGGACTGCAAATAACCTTGCAAAATTTTCTGGCTCTAAAAAAAGGTTTTTTTTAAACTCCAAATCTTCACTCTTCTTCCCCTATTAAGAGGCTCGAGTGGGCCTTTTTTTGTCAACAGTCCACATCAGGAAATGTTTTGGCTCTGTCCAGTTGTTCTGTTGCTCTCATTAAGTCTTTAGAAGAGAGTTTAGGAGGTCAAGGGTCACTGCAGCTCTGCTTCCCTTCCTGAGCCAGTCGCCAACTTTGTTTACATTCTGGGATAAGGCAAAGAGTTTGTGGATTGTTGTGCAGACTGTAGAGTTTCGAATCTGCAAAACATAAAAAGCCACCACAGGCTTGGTTTTGAATAAAAGTTGAGCTATCAGAGCGTTTATGCGACGACTGATGTAGGACTGTGAGAATTCTCCATGTTTTGCTTTGTCATACTTTCCTCCCGGGTCACCAAAGGAAAATAACAGCACTGTAATGTAATATTGCAAGCGCTCGCTTTCAAAAGATTTAACAGAGCTGCGCTGACGTTTGAAGAGACTTGCCTGGAGGATGTGCACATGAAAGCGTCAGAAAACACTACAGCTAATTAAAAGTATTGTGCCCCAATCCTGCTGCAGTGGAGCAGCTGATTACAAAAGACAATTGAATTCGGAAGTGTGATTTAACAAGGGAGTTGGGTGTCTTGTCAGCCACGAATCCGTTTACTATCAGCAAATAATTTAAATATGAGTGTTTCATTTTGAGGTAATAAAAAATGCACTTGTAATTTTGTTCTCTGGAGAAATAAGGTTACATGTAACAGCAACATCCCATTAAGTCACAGATAAATAAGCATCAATCCCATCCTGCTAAATGTGATGAAGACACAAAGCTAATTACACCGACTCTTACAAGTGCGACTTGACCCAGACGTTTAATTTCTTTCGAGAGTTTGTGAATCCCTCCGAGATAAAGTTTCCTCGCGCTAACAACACTCCTCTCGGACTTTCTGATTCCCTTCATAAATAAAATGGTAGTTCACATTAAGAGAAAAGAAAATATGCAGCCATCTTCACCCTTGTTTCTCCTGACAGTATTTTAACAATACCCTTGTGAATGTGAGCATACTTCACAAAAACTGCTTTCATTTATTTTTTCTCTTTTTCAGCATGACATCCCTCAGACAGGGTGATTATCTTTGGAGAGGGGCCAGTGAGCAGTAGGAGTGCTTTGAAGACATTCCTAAGAGGATATAAATAGTGTATTTATACTCAGCGCGGTCCTTCATGATATATTCACCGTATGACATACACGTTGTATCCCACATGCATCAACAACCGACCACAGTCATATGTTGTATGGAAAACAGTGCTGGGAAGTTCTAATACAGTCTTCTAATAACACTCCCATCCTATGTATGCGAGTTGTACCAATGCCTTAATCATTTTTTAATCACATACTGAAGAACTGTCCCTTATGAATGATTTCTTCTGCAGATTTTTCACTATATTAAGAAAGTGGTAATCTAACAGCTTTATAAAGCTTAGCATCACAGTGTGAAGCCTGACTTATAGATATTAAACTGTTTTTTTAACCAAAGAGAGCTCACAGTGGATTGAACCAGTCCTGAGATCTTATCAGGAATGTTTTTACTTTTGTTATTTTGAGTGTTCTTCTTCTGTTTATTCAAAAATATGTCAAAGCTACTTAATCCACCAGGAGGCTTTTGTCTAAGACTAAAAAACGATATGTATAGTAAGTTGGCACTGCATGTTTAACAGCATCTTAAAATATTTAATGACAAAATGTTAAGCAGTTGCAGGGAAATGAAATACAGAGACGTGTGCAATCAATTCTGCGAATGCAGGCCTCAGCTCGGCCATTGTTCTGGTCCTGAGGTGGTGTGATAGCATGGCGGAGGTGTGAGATTAGACTCTTACATAAGTTTAGGGGTTCACTGATAAGAGACAACTGATAACCTTGCTGTACCTTTAACTGCAGCAAGCACAGAAAGCTACACAAATTACCTGAAATAAGGCCAAACATTTCATCCATGCAGAATTCAGCACTTTTTTTCCTCTTCAATATCACAAAAAAAGTCAAAGTCTCCATGCTGGAGATTAATCTTCTATTTATCTCGGCACCCACAGTGACCAGCTGCCAACACTCAGAGTCCAGCAACAGAAGTGACCATGACTTCACCTTACCCTGAAATATCTGAGCTTGCTGCAGGAATGGTCAAGTATATATAATGATTTATTTCAATTATAGACAATTTAATGTGTACACAACACTGGATATTTTAATATGCTAAACATTACATTTAAATGATGGAGTAGCAGAATAGTCAGCCAAGATCAATAAGTTATAATACTATGATTTCTCCCCAATGTTTCTGAGAGCCAGAAAATTATTTTTCAACCTTTCATGTGCGTTTTGATGTCCTGCATATGATTTTCTTAAAAGCTTTTCTGAAATCCCTGTTGAAAATGGTGTAGATTATGGGGTTCACAGAACTGTTGCAGTAGCCAATCCAAAAGAAAAGGTTGAAAAGTGCGGCGGGGATGTAGCAGCTCTCTCTGCAGATAGCATGCAGGCTGTAAGTAAAGAAGAAGGGGAACCAACAGAGCACAAACACCCCCATCACTACCGCCAAGACGAAGGTGAAGCGCTTCTCCCGCATCTGGGCCACTTTGGTCTTGTTGGCTGCGGCCAGCTGTTGTCGCCCAGCTGGGTTCTTCTGCTCCGGGTAAAGTTGTAACGCCCGGGCTGAAGCCCAGGAAAGTCGGCAGTTCTGGGGTGGACAACTGTCCGATCCCTCTACTTTCCTTCGCTTGGTGAAGCGATGGTGTCGGGGTTTCGTATCCGATGCACAGCAGCTCTCCTCCAGGTCGATGTCGTCCAGCTCCCCTTGCTTTTGCGGATGGCTGCCGGAGCTTTGACTGCTAGGGCTCTCCATTTCGAACCGGTCCTTCCTGACAAAACAGGTCTCTGACTGAGAGGGCTGCCTCTCCAGGCCATTCTTAGCCACGAACACGGTGGAGGAGCGCTGCTTGGCAACTTTATAAATTTTACAATATACCAGAATCATAATGAGACCGGGAGCGAAAAAGGAGACCAGGCAGGATGAGAGGATGTACCAGGTTTCATCATTTAGCAGACACTCCCGTTCATCGTGTTTGGTCATGAGGAGAGGAGGGAAGGAGATGATAGCAGATATTATCCACACTACAGCAATCATGGACTTGATGCGCTTAGGTGTCCGTTTCAGGTTGTAGCTAACCGCCTTTGTTACTGACCAGTATCGGTCCAGGCTGATGGCGCACAGGTGAACGATGGATGAGGTGCAGAACAACACATCCAGAGCGAGATAGAAGGCGCACCAAGTACTTCCAAAGTACCAGTAGCCCATTACCTCGTTGACGAGGGAGAAGGGGATCACTAGTGTGGCCACCAGGATGTCCGCCGATGCAAGAGAGACCAGGAAAAGGTTCTGAGGGGCACGGAGAGCCCTGCTAGTAAGAACCGCTACAATCACCAACACATTACCAACAATTGTGACCGAAATGATCACTGTAACCACGAGGATGATGAGTGCGGTGGCTGCCTCTGTGTGTGGCAGAGCGAACGGTGCGTCGGTGGTGTTTTCAACGTTGGAAACATTTTCCAACAAGAGGCTTAGCTGGGTTAAATCCATTCTGTCTGAAAAATGTCCGTTTGTATCATCTTTGTTATTTCACCCTGTTCTTTTTCGAAACATCTACGCCTGAGTGCGCTGAGCTGTGTTGCTAAAGCATGGGGATCGGCTGCGCGTAAAGCTCCGGGTCACTATCGAGTGCAGCCCACATAAGACACGGGGGCTGCAGACGTGATCTCCTGAAACAGCAAACTGTTTAACACACGTCCTTTGGGGAGATCCGACACGCACATCAGATGTCGACTGTGTGAGAAAACTGCGAGAGGAGCAGAGTTCACAATCCGCAAAGACTCAGAGAATAAACTCGCTCCTGCGGCATCCATGTCATGCGTAATGCTAGTTGCGTTAGGGTGAACCGCTTCTCTATGGAGACGAACGGGAGATGCACACTGAGTGGAATAAATGTCCACACAGGAGCGAGGTGACATCACCGAGAGAACCAGCCCATTTCTAAACTGAGAGAGAGAGAGAGAGAGAGAGAGAGAGAGAGAGAGATCTTTAAAACTGTAAAGTGTTTCTCTACATGTAAGTTTGCTTGTTGTCCTTAATATTTTTTTCTTTCTTCATGTTTAATGTCTCTGCTTTACATATTCAAACCAAAACGCCAGTAGGAAAAAATAGACACATGCGAGTTTTTCCTTCATCCTTTAAAATGAGGTTTCCTACCACAGTGATGCCTCATTCTCATGGCTGTTTATCAATCGGATTTTATATAAGTACACTGCTTGATCAATGTAAAAACAAGGACACACAAATATTTTAGAAATCTATCAAAAACTTCAAAACTAAAAAAAAAATATGCTAAATTCACATTTTTTGAGCTGGCACAAGGGACTACTCTGAGAAGTCAGAAATGAATCAAGCATAACATTCAACCAGATGTGGGTGAAACATTATTCTGGGTATAGGGTTGGATGAATACATTTGTTAAGCACTGTATGTTGCATCAGAAATAATTTTTCTTTGAAAAACCTCAATAATTCATGATGGCACCATCATTAAGAGTCCCTGATGGAACAAGAGGTAAAACAGCACAGGTGGAGGTTTCTCTGAACTTTATTAACCCTGCAGGTGATGAGTTAGGAGGGCAAAGTGTTCAAATTAAAATAGCTTTAATGGAAGCAGTGATCACTGATCAGTGCATGAATTTTGTCAGTGAAGCATAGATGCCCATCTATCATTGTAAACTACTTTTGTGAAGGCCTGACTTGTTTATGTGCAATCACACTCATCCATTATTCATGAATTATAATCTGGAATTTTTCTATGCTGGCACAGTGAAGGTAATACCTGTTGCTGCGGTGCTTGCATCTGTTTGCTCTGGAGGTTCAGTTATATAACACATATGCAGCTATGTTAGGCAACCAGACATACAGCCAGGGGATGTTTATGAAAAATGTACCGGCCAAACAGAAAGGTGCGCACAAGGCCAGAAGAGGGGTCACTTTGAAGTACTCTGATGTGCAGACTGTAGCTTTGCCCAACACATAAGCGCTTCACTTATTTGGGATTTTAAAGTATATGAGTAAATACCATGTAGCAGAAGCCTGGCATTATTGGATTTCCAGTGCAGGTAAACCTACACGGATGTCAACATAAAAGCTGCTTTTAGGTGTACGTTTGTGTCCACACTTGAAGGCTCAAGAACATGAACATGTTTGTTTCTCTGACTCTTTTCCCGCTCACTCTCTGTAACCTCTCTCCACAGTATGAAAAATTAAAAAAAAACTTTAAAGAGCAGGGCAACTGTCACCACATATCAGTGGTCAGTGGTAGATGTACCCTAAAGGGTCTACTGCTGAAAAAAACCAGGAAGAACACTGACCTCAGTTACCAGCACCCTCAAACAGCCTTTACAAGCAGGAAAAACAGTCTTTATTGCACCTCATTTTTTTTCTTTAAAAGAGAATTGCCTACAAATTACCATTATTATAAATAAGCACGATTAGTTTTGCAATTCTGTGATGGAAGATGTAATTAAATATCTTTCTTTCTCAGCTTTCTAAACACTAAACGGACAATAATGAATTCATATTAAGTTTGCAAAGGACAAAAACACAAAGACAAGCTGTTCAGGTTAGATTAGACATCTTATTTACGGGGTGTTTGCATTAATATCCCAACAATATGTTGCATATTCATACAGTGGTTTTGCAATGTATAACCAAATGCTACTATTGTTTCTGCATCTTTAAACCACAGGGTGAAAAGAAATGGTGTAACTGTTTTGATATCTTCTGCTTGCAGATGTTGATAAAATCTAGTCTAATCAGCACCAATGCTTGTGAACTAGCTTTGCTCTCTGCAGAGAACATTGCAGGCAATTTTTCAAAAGAGAACAAATTCTCATGACAACAGTTTTGTCTTCCCATTTCTGCACTTTGCTGGTTTCAAAATGAACAATTATATAATTTTAAATTCTGTCTAAAGCTGAAAGTCACTGAGCAAGCTTGTCAATATATTCTTTTGTGCTATGAGATAACACAATTCACTCACTCTTCTATACAATAGCATGACATAACAAGCTAAAACAAAACCTAATCAGAACATTATCGGGTGAACTTGGGAAATCTATATATAAAAAACACTTACAGACATGTTCCTTCAAGCCTTCCGTAATTTCTATTCCAAGCAAAGCAACAATACCCAACATCCTGTCTCTTTGGATACAGCTTCCTGTTATGCTGCAGTCATCGGACATAGTGAGGTGTGCATATAAATGCAAAGCTATCCTGAAGTCCTGAAGGGTTCTCCCCAAATTTGACACAAATCTTACCAACTGGCTATTCAGACAATTTCACTTTCCAATTCAAAGTAAAATCCATTACCGAGGAGGCAAAACTAATAAGCTGCTTAACATGTTACATGCTTGACATCTCGGTGACACACATGACAACTCTGTAATGCAGATGCCAGATTCATTTACTGTCATGGTATGAAATCTTAGCTGATCTCCGGAGCTGCAGAGGTGTTAGGAGCCAGTGTGTTCCCATGGGAGAAATAGCATGGCACTTCAGGCACATTCGATGTGTGTGCTTGCACATTAGAAGCCTCGAGAACGTTATCTGGGTCGAGGTGCTCTTGCAGCAGTGTGTTTAAGACGATCCTGTCCACCCAAGCTGTAATTCTGATGCATCAATCTCTGCTGAAGTTTGGAAAAGTGTTCACATCTTGTTCCAGCATCCATACCGACTTTAATCTCATCAACTCATCAATCATTAGGCGTGCACCATGATTCAACAACTTCTGTCCTCGACAGCAGGCAATACTTTGAGTAATGTGTTTTTAGTGATAAATACTGCCCACAGAAACTATTCATTAGCTTAGCAGTGATCATTAATATGCTTGCTGAACATAATTTCACTGCTGAATAGCTACTGTGTGTACACTTATCAGTTTCGTGGGCGCTTTCCAAGGTAATCGCTAAGGAAATTTAGCAATCAAGGAACTGGACCACCACACTGGTCTGATGTGTGTCCAAGCTCACAGGAAACCAACATGATGAAAAGCAGTGCAGAAGCATGTTATTATGACATACAGTAACGTAGATAACATTGTTTATGGGAAATACAAGGCTGTGTGAACAGTCAGGGCTCAGTACATATGCAGGCTTGTAGGGCATAAACATTGTATATCTATTGTCACGGGAATAAGTAACTTAACAAATATATGTGAGCCGATGCAACTGCAGCGAGTGCATTATGTAAATATTGTGAGTCACTGTGAGGTTTTCCATATGTGTGACAAATTTTGCACTCATGTTAAGCATTAGAAAAAACCTGGTAAGCACTGTGTGCACCCCATGCTGAGACTGCACAGTATTTCACAATAAGACTCCGTTACTGCAGTCTGTAGAAACATAGATGCATTAAAATCAAACTTTTGAAAGGGAAAGCCAAAAACAAACACGCTGTAAAATTCTCAGTACTGACCGGTATTAACATATTTAACTGAGTCCAAGTTATTAAGCTTTTCTTACTAAATCATGTCAGATTAAGTTATTACTGGAGAAGGTTCTGGATCACAAGCACCTTAAAAGTGCATAATAGCCTTATGAGCTATATTTGACATGTGCAATAGCTCAGACATTAATTAGAATTCAGGACAAAAACATTGCTGGAAAGCTGTAGTGTGTTTCCACCAGACGGTCAGTTGCTTTAACGTACACCTGAACTTGTCACAGTTAGCATCATGCAGTTTTTTCTTTAAAGCTAAACTATTTTTTTCTCTTTTGGACTAAACCATTAGCACCTTTCAGCGGGTAGGAGATACATCAGAAGCTCCAATACTGCTGGAGATCCAATAAAGAGCAAATCAAAGTATTCCTTCAATAAGCTAATCGTTTGTTTACTGTGCCTAATAATGTTACATTTCAGAATTACCAATAAAAGTGCTTTTTTTTCTGGATATATGACGAGGCTGTGATTATTTACCTCCACGATTCCCCACCCCACTGCTGGGATGCCCTTTTATGTTGATAAAACAGAGAGATCCCTGGGAGGGCACCTTATAGAGGTTGCAGCTGATGACTGTGTTTTCCTTGCTGCCTCAATCCTCTTACCTTCCTGTTTTCTTACAAAGAGGCTTTTTGGCTGAATGCAAGCAGAACCCACTACAGCGTTATGTAACGTTCCAGGAATAAATGGCCCGAGGTGGCGTGTGAAAACCTCATCTCAGGCTGCAGGTGATTTGTAATAGTAAACACTTTCTTTGGGGATTTCAGTCTGCAAAAAAATCTGCCATGACCCAGTATGATTACTTAAATACTGTACAGCCTATCCATCTTAATTTCCATGTGTGATTACAGGATCCTTGGCTCTTTTGGATGTGTCTGCTTGTAGGAGATAGCTCGGGTGTGGGAAGGACTATGTGTGTCACAGCTACACTGTGATTCACATGTCTTTTTGTTTTTTTTTCACAGATTGCACATCTTCCACATCTCCCACCTTCTTCCACTGTCGCTTTTGCTGTCGGGAGCCCCGGCAGGTCAGGAAAAAATACATGACTGCTGACCTTTGTTGTGTCCCAAACAAACAAGATCTCCCTCACATTTTTCCACAGCTTTGGACAAAAACCCCCCTGGAATGTGAAAGCGTGACCAGATTAATGAACCCTTGAAGGTCATGCATGTCACCACATTCCCTGAAAGAAGTTTCACCTTGAATTATAAGCAATCAGCCGAAATTCAGGATGGCTTTTTGTTAGGAAAGCTGTTGATGCCAAAACGGCAATAAAAATATCACAAATTACATCAATTTCACTGCAAGAAAAAATAGAATTGGCTCTTTAAAAAAAATAAAATTAATTCAAATAATTAAGCAGGCATGGCATATTTTTTGCAGATCATTAAACTTACTTTGAATATATTCAGATTAG